ATTACCATCTTCGTAAAGAGTCCTCCAAACAATGCTTGTTAAGAAGATTAGTGTGGTGTATTTTAGGGAAAAGTTTATGCCTGTTATTAGTTAAGCTGTTCATGAATCAGTTTTACATTGTTACAGGAACAACTTGAATGCCCTTTGAATTGTTGACCATGATCTGCTCTGGTTGTTCTGTTTTTTAGTTGTACGAATTTGCTGTTTATTATCTGAAAACTATAAACAGTAATGTTAAACAATTTGTTTTCTGTACATCTTTCTTAACAGGGCATGAGTTGTGCAACTACTACTATTGAGGAACCCACCAGTGAGTTTACCCCGAATATACGTTCAGGGAGCTTTTCCGACATTCGAAGCCGAGAAACCATGGAGGACGAACACATTTGCATAGATGACTTATCAGCTCATTTTGGATCCTTCAACTTCTCGGTACCAAGTGCTTTCTATGGTGTGTTTGATGGTCATGGTGGACCTGAGGCATCACTTTACATGAAGGAGAATTTGACAAGATTGTTCTTTCAGGATGCTGTGTTTCCGGAGATGCCCTCCATTGTGGACGCCTTTTTCTTAGAAGAACTGGAGAACTCTCACCGAAAAGCTTTTGCTTTGGCTGATCTCGCCATGGCTGATGAACGCATTGTGAGTGGTTCATGCGGGACTACCGCCCTTACCGCCCTCATAATTGGACGACATCTTCTGGTTGCTAACGCTGGAGATTGCCGTGCTGTGCTATGCCGGAGAGGAGTGGCTATTGATATGTCTTTCGATCACAGATCAACTTATGAACCAGAACGAAGGCGGATTGAAGATTTAGGAGGATATTTTGAGGACGGGTACCTCAACGGGGTCCTTGCGGTCACACGGGCCATTGGGGACTGGGAACTAAAGAATCCTTTCGCTGACTCCTCTTCACCTCTGATCTCAGACCCAGAGATTCAACAGATCATTCTAACAGAGGACGACGAGTTCTTGATTTTGGCATGTGATGGTATATGGGATGTGTTATCAAGCCAAAATGCAGTGAGTAACGTAAGGCAAGGACTTAGGAAGCATGGCGACCCAAGACAATGTGCGATGGAACTTGGAAAAGAAGCAGCTAGGCTTAACTCATCAGATAATCTGACGGTTGTAGTCATCTGCTTCTCCTCAGTCCCGTCTTCACCTCAACATTCGCAGAGGAGAAGATTAAGGTTCTGTGTTTCTGATGAAGCTCGATCTCGGTTACAGGCTATGCTTGGAGGCGACTGAAATCAGTTTTTTTTTTGGCAGTATATAACAAGAGTGATCGGTTTTAGACCGATCAATCGATTATTTCTCTAATTTGAGATTGGATTCAGATGAGATAAAATAAGAGAGTTAAAAGGTAGAGAGGAAAGAAGAA